TTTGGGTTTGGATTTACATTCTCATGGCGAAACACCGAATGCAAGAATGTCTGTTTTGGGAGGAACAAGAATCAATCAAACTCAAGAGAGCAGAGAAAGGGAAGAAAAAGGAAAAGGCAGAGACTTTAGAAGTGGTACTTTCTGCAAATTTCTGCTCTGTATAGCTCTTTACAGGCTGGTTTGATTAGGCTGGCAACTTACAGAGGAGAAGTTCACAAGGGCCTACAGAGAGAGAGAGAGAAAATAGGATTAAGGAGAATGAGATTAGTTTTAATAAGTTTCATAATGATTAATTAAGTATTTGTTTTGTCTGTTATACTGATGAGTTTGCATAAGATCGCGGCGGGTGTTAATTAGCTGTTAATTTGATTATTTGTAAGGTCTTTTTCTGAAAGATAAGAAGAAAAAGAAAACGTATGTGTCCTCTTTGGCTATAGTTGTGAGGATTGTGGGTCACTATTTCTCATCACCTTTTTGTTTCAATCCTAAATTTTTTTATGTGGAACTCTCTTCTTAATCAAATCGTCTGCTTATTACATTTCTCTGCGAATAAGTTATATCAAGATTTCTTGTAAAGGTATGCAATTATTCAGTATGGATATTCTCACTAGCATGTTCAATATGGTTCAGTGTTTTCTTTTTTTTTTGGATTTTTTAGTACTCAAAATACAATGAAACCTAATATTGGTTTAATTAATTTGGATTAAGATTTAGTAATAGTTTTGGTTTTGATTCAAATTTTTAAAAGTATAGTTCGATTTTACAAAATTCTGGATATAGATAGATAATAAAAATATTAGAATTTGTTCAATTTATATGTATGGTTACATGTATTAAATATTTATAAGCGTTGTAAGAAAATAGTTATAATTATGGGAAAATTACAAAAATATCACAAATAGGCCAACAGTTTGCAAAACTGCCACACACGCTGGACCCTTTACAAAAATGTCACGATTCTATCCGAGAATGACAAATTTACTTCTGAAACATGCTCTCAATATTCTCTCTCCCAAAACCTAATCGCCATCGGCACTTTTCATCTCTTTAGAAAGAAAATCGAAACTTTTTAGACGATTGGAGAGGAAATCGAAACTTTTTAGAGGTCATTCGAGAAGAAATCGAAGCTTATTAGAGGTAATTTTTATCTCTATTTCTCGATTTCTCAAACTAGATCTAGATCTAGTTTTTGATTCGCGATTTCGCAATTTCGTCGATTTGTGTAACAGATTTTACTAGTTTATTTGATTTTGTCAATGGTTTTTTCGATTCTCGACTATCCGATATTGTCGATATGAGTTTCAAACTCGTCGTCGCACTTGGTTTGAATATGTCAATCTCGGTAGTTTTTCCTCATTGACGTGAATCTGGGTAAATTTATGGGTTTTAAACAGTTTTTAAAACGATAATATATGAGATGGAAATTGATGGTTTATATCTGTAAAACTAGGTAAAGTTTTGTTCTTGAAATGATTACGG